GTTTATCGATAAAAACGGTAAGGTCATAAAATATGGACCATGATCCGTTATACTTGTTTTCCTTAGGCACAAGCACTTGACATGTTATGTTGTCCACATAAAATCGTAAAATGATCTTATGATGCACATGTGCAAATAGATCACAACAGACATATGTATGTACTAGACTCCTGCGCAATTCCATTTAAACGGCCCAACANAAATACTTACATATGTGCATCCAAATTAGATAATACCATGTTCTGACCGACATCGAAAACATGTTTTCGTTGCTAAAACTGGTTTTCGACCTAAAACTTGTGTTTTCGTCAATGTAAAATCTGTCAAACGAAAACAAGTTTTCGCTGAAAACCACTTGAAAACTCACGTTCCACTCATTTCAATCGGTGTCTGCACTAGTTTTTTTCGATTATTTATCGAAGTGGAAGTCATATTTTATCATCTTTAATACGCCATTTCGGATTTTTTGTTAATTGGCTGAACAAAATAAAATAAGCATGGAAGTAAGAGGTTGTTAATGAAACGAAATTGAAAAAAAGTATTTTGGTTTTGTATTTGTGCAGCAAAACTGTAAACAAAGGATGTAAGAAATGTCGACGAAAATACCAACAGTCGGTGTGAACAGCCTTCAGCCCACAATCCCAAAACTGGTTTTCAAGGTGTTTTCGTTGTCGGTCAGAACATTGTATAAGAAAAACGTTGTAACTAAAACATGAATGTGCACTAACCCTGTGGGGAAAATCTCTAGTTCTGAACCGGCGCTTCTGGTACATTTAGACCCAGTACTGGTTCACGATTAATCTCTTTTGCATGCAAGCAACTGGCGAATTTAACATGGCGATGTCGTAGGAAGTGTCAATTGCCCCCCGCTGCATCCCTATTTCGATAGTTCCAAACTAGTCCTAAATTCCAACTGATAGCTGGCAATGCTACACATGTTTTCGCACGGGTTGCAGCATGTCGATTTTTCGTTTTTCGTAACGTAGCTACGAATTACCAATTACAAAAATTCGGGTTCTAGAATAAGGGTGAACATTTTTATAGCAAAAAGGTTTTTTCAAGTTTTTAAAAGCAAATACATATTTTATAATTGTTTGACGCGTATATTTATCAATAACTTTATTTGAAAATAAAATGCAAATGTAGAAAACGAGAAGCAAATGTGGCGAAGCCCATTCTCTAACGGTAAGCTCTCTTTCATAAAAATTTTATTCAAGAATGGGCTGGATTTCGAATTCACAACGAAGTTAGAATACATGGGGTAACGACGGCTGTCTTATGCTGGAGAGTAGACAAGTTGTCGAGTCGGAAGACCATCCTCTGCCATCACTCATTATCAAAGGTGAGGTATGGATTCCTTTTCCAATTATTTAAAAGATTTTAACCGAACCATGACCACAAACAATATTGAAATTACCACTACATTTTCTTCTAGGTAGAGGTGTCAAACTATCGATAGTCACACCATCGATAGTTTTGATAGTTTTCAGAAAAACTATCAATAATCACGATAGTCTCGAAAAAAACAAAACTATCGATAGCACTATCGATAGCGCTATCGATAGCTCTAAATCAGTTAGGTTGCTTTGCTTTTACAGGATCATAGTGAAATAAATATTATCCTATGAAAGTTATAATCATTCAAAATTAAGTAACTGCTTTGCCAAAATACTTCTCTTTTTAGAAAGTTCAAAAACAAACACAGGTTATACAAACAAAACAGGATTTACGATTAACATATGTATGTATAATTTCAAAAAAATTGGGAGAGATGATCGATAGTCCTACTAAACTATCGATATTTTCGATAGTATAAGAAAAATCTATCAATGAGTATTGATAGTCTAAAAAAATTTAAACTATCGATACTATCGATAGTGCTATCGATAGTTTGACAACTCTAGTACTAGGGTGTGTAGAAATGTTACAACTGTCTCAATTACCAGTAGCTGACTCGCGACTGCGGATGCGGATGTTTAAACGCTAACATCCGCGGATGCGGATGTCAAGTATTTTTATACCCGAGCGCACTTGTACGCAAGGTTATTATAACTTTGTTCACATAACGGTTGTTTGTAACAGGCAAAACTAATCGAGACAGATATAGACAAAAGCGTACATAATTGATAAGAATGAAAAGAGTAACCGTCTGTGCACACGATCACTCTAGTAAAAATTGAGATATCTTAACGAAACTTGGTATGTGTACAAGCGCAGTTAGTCAACGACGTAGAGTAAACGTAGGTTGACGTACTTAGCAGCATATCATATTTACTGTTGATAGAGAGAGAAAGAATCAACGGCAACGTCACCGCCATGCGGTGGTGAGTTTGCGTTAACTCGCGAATCCCATAAGGTAGATCGTGTCTGCCTCAACCTACGTCTACGTTACGTCGTTGACTGTTTGAGCTTTAGTTCTTTTGAGCGTAGGACGGATGGTGTTGAAAATGGGAAAAATCGGACGATAACCACGCTTACCTCCCGTATAACGTTAGTTTTCAGAAATACGAACACTGCGATATTTTAGTAACCACTGAAGCTTACTCACTCAAAATTGATATGTACAATCATTTTTAGGCGAAAAATAAGAATATGATAAATTTTTGGAAAATGGGCGTAGGCAAGCCCACTTATGATTACATGTGTATATCTTGGGAACCGCTCCACCAACTTCTTCACAGTTGTTGGCCTTCACAAAGCATACCAAATGGCTGAAAATTAAAAAAATCGGATAATAACCACCCCACATCCCACATAACGGTAATTTAGAGAAATACGAAAGCTTCGATAAATCAGTAAATACTGAAGCTAATTTATTCAAAATTGACGTTTGCAATAATTCTATAGCAAAAAGTACGCTTATAATAAAATGTTGAAAAATGGGCGTGACCCCACCTATGTGTATCGGTACGATTATTGTGGTTGCCCCATAAAGGCAAAACGTTGAAAGTTATTGAAATCTGACTAAAATTACCACCACCTTTTTATAACGCTAATTTTACCCAAAATTGATACTAACAACAATCCCTTGAAAAGAAGTACCGTTATTATGGAATTTTGGAAAATGGGCGTGATACCGCCCACATATATCTATATAAGTTTATATCATTATGAACGTTCTATCGAAGATGTTTGAAATAGACGTAAAACCACCACTGCTTACCATGTAGCTGTAGTTTTCGGAAAGGTGAAAAAACTATATTGAATACTTGCGCCGGGTATTTAATGTTCGGCTCCGCTAGAACTTAGACTTTTTTACTTGTTAAGAAATAATTTAGGTGATTTAGTTAAATAAAAAATGGAAAATTTAGTAATTTTTAATGTTTTTTTTAGTACTTGAATTTAAAAATTGGAACATTGTATTCAATAAAAAGTTTTTAAATGGTCGTAAATCAAACCTGCGCCACTAAATAACTACTCGCTCGCTGCGAGAAACTTGAAAAATTTCGAACTTGACAAAATTGTAAATTCTTTTCGATTGACGCTGCACCAGTCGAGAGGACTTTTAGTTATATTTATTTTATTTTTTTATTGCGGTGCAATAATTCTTTTTTGGGAATTGCATCAGTCTGCAAATGTCGGATCTTCACAATCAAGTATTATGGCAAGATCGTTGTTTAAACACCGTTGTTTTCCAAAGAATTCTTCATTCTCATTCTTTTGGTTGTTGCTGAATGTGGAGAACCAGTAACGTCAACAGCGTTTTTCGAATTTAGTTTTTGTAATTCATTTTTGATCCTTTCTTCTATGACTGGCCAGATATACGTTTTATCATTGCACTTGCATAATATTCCACGGACCGAAAATAACAGTTATTTTTTTAAGTTAAACTTGGCCTAATATTTTTATTCCGAAAGTTTTTTCTGGATAATAAACAAAGAGCTTTTCAAAATTAAGCAAATTTGGTATCATGTGAAAGAGGACTGAAATAGCTTTTAAACAGAAATAACGAACGAAGGTTTATATATATTTTTATATCATTTAACATTTTTTATTGAAATATTTTTCAAGAGGTGACTTTACTTGATTGGACATTTCAGTTTCAAAGCTATTTAAGTCCTCTTTCATTTGATACCAAACTTGTTTAATTTGGATAAGCGGTTTGTTCATTGTCCGGAAAGGACTTTTAGTTGGGAATAAAAAATATTTGGCCAAGTTCAACTCGTAAAGAAAATAACTGTTATTATCGGTCCCTTCAATATTCGCATTCGCAAAAGATCCGCATTGATTATTGCGTATGCGAAAGCGAATGCGAATGTTAAAATTAATGCGGAAGCTCCGCGGTTGCGAATGCGAATGCGAATATTCGCAACAACCCTGGTATGTATATAATTTGAAACTTTAGAGACGTTTTTCTCGAGTTTTCGGTTTTTTGAGTTATGACAGTATTGAAGTAAGTGAGCGTTATGTTTATAATCACAACATGCATATTGGATATCGAATATAATATTCGAACGTTCGCTACAATATTTTTTAGGTAATTAAAAAAAAAGGTTACTTAAAAAGTTCTTAACCGGTCGATACTTTTTGATATTCGCGATATTTACTCAGTATTTGTCAAAAAGTATCGATATTCTGTACTCGGTTCTCGTATCGTTCTATCACAAGTTATAGATATAACTCTTAAAACTGCTGCTATAACTTCTACCGCTTAGATTTTGTTGTTTCATTTTTCATTTTCTAAAAAAAAAAAAAAAATATAACACTATTGAAATAAATATTAATACACCACAATAAGAATGACAAATCTTGTTATGATGATATTGGTAAAGATAACTTTTATCTTCCAAGCAGTAAATAAAAATAAAAGAAATAACAATTAATTTCCGAGCAATAAATCAGGGCGTCCGAGCAAAGGCTTTTTATCATCGCTCCGCTCATACTTTCACTGCAAATGCAGTTCGAAGCTGAAAATGTTGGATCTTGTGGCATTTACATAGGTATGTACGTATATACTACGTTTATGCGGCAGAATTTATGAATTCTTAATTTCATTAAATCAAAAATGGTTCGGTTTATGCATAATTCGCGAATTCACGAAATAAAGTGTTCTAAAAGTGACAGCGCACCAGCGAGGAACCAAACGGTAGGGTTGTAGTTTTTTTTGCCATTTTTAAATTTGCAAAAGCCGTTGGTACCAGGTAATGATCCATGTTATATTTAAATTGGTTTTAATGTATTTGAATTTCTTCTATTTGAATTTACTTTATATTTCAACAAATCCACTTTCCAGTGTCTAAATCATGGATATGCCACTTATACTTTTTGATCTAAAAAAATCATAACCCTAGTAAACAGCTGTTTGCAAAACGTGGCGTTGCAGTACTTGCGCTTCACGATTTCATGAAATCATGTCGAAATTCATGGATAGTTTTTGTGTATAATTGAATTCATGAAATTGTATTTATGCAGCCAATTATAACCGAAATTCATGAAATTATTTCGTGAATTTGCGTACGCATAAACGTAGTTAGAGTTCGTCCTATTTTAAAAAGTGAGGTATCAAATGACAGGGCTTTCTATTGGATAAATTTTAAATTTTACAGAAGCAAACCAAAATAATAATAGTTTATTTTTAATATTTTTATTGAGCTTTGTACCACGATTGTTTATTAGGAAAAATTGAAAAAGCAACAAAGTCTAAGCGGTAGAAATTATAGCACTTATTTCGGAGATCACCACATCCCTTCATCAGACTTCTTTTTTCTAGACTTCAGCAGGGATCGAACCTGCGAATTCGATGTTCAAAGTCAGAAGCGTTAACCACTGAGCTATGTACATCCCGTAAACTCTTGTTGCTAATTCATTTTCCTTATTCAACCAACTACTATCAAGTGCAGCTGATTTGCCGCTATTTAAACTCGACAGCGTGGTTGTTGTTGTCAATTCTATACATCCATTTGCTTATTTGCTTTTTTGTATAGTTTCAGGCAGGCTCTTCCTAAACTATGTATTTGTCAATGTTATTGTGGCTTGTTAACATTTTATTTTTAATATTTTTATTGAGCTTTGTACCACGATTGTTTATTAGGAAAAATTGAAAAAGCAACAAAGTCTAAGCGGTAGAAGTTATAGCACTATTTCGGAGATCACCACATCTCCTCATCAGACTTCTTTTTCTAGACTTCAGCAGGGATCGAACCTGCGAATTCGATGTTCAAAGTCAGAAGCGTTAACCACTGAGCTATGTACATCCCGTAAACTCTTGTTGCTAATTTATTTTTCCTTATTCAACCTTATTTTGCTTTTTTGTATAGTTTCAGGCAGGCTCTTCCTAAACTATGTATTTGTCAATGTTATGTGGCTTATAAACATTTTATTTTTAATATTTGTATTGAGCTTTGTGCCACGATTGTTTATTAGGAAAAATTGAAATATAGAAAATGCTTATAGAGCTGGTCTAAAGATGCCTATAAATCTATCTTGCTTTTGTTTAAGATATGGCTTTGAGTTTTGATATAGTGTATCTGAGAGACAGCTTACGGAATATTGGGAAGTGTATTTCTGAAAAGCTGTTAAATGGGGTCCCTGCTGCATTTGTGGTGACGTTATTTACATATATATATATATATACAATTAAAGAACGTTATTATTATTATCTTAAATTTGTAGTTTCTTCTTAAATAAAAGGGTTATTTAAAAAATATATATATATACGTACATATTTAAATATAAACATACATACATATATCCAGTAAATATGCTTTTGAAACATCATTTCAGGCGTGTACTCTCCGATGTGAAACCTGGTTATTTACGTGCACTCATTCCTGATGACGCACCAGAAACACCAGAAAGATGGGAAGATGTTATGAAGGATATTGAACGCGTTATAATGCCTGGTGTCACGCATTGGCACAGCCCTAAATTTCACGCTTATTTTCCAACTGCGAATTCATATCCAGCTATAGTAGCCGACATGTTAAGTGGCGCGATTGCCTGCATTGGATTTTCATGGGTATGTGCACATAAACATTTTCGGTTAAACACATATGCATGTATGTATTAATGATTTAATATGTTGACTATTAAAGATTGCTAGTCCCGCATGCACGGAATTGGAAGTCGTAATGTTGGATTGGTTGGGCAAAATGGTAGGCTTACCAAAGGAATTTTTAGCCAGTTCTGGAGGCAAAGGCGGTGGCGTTATACAGGGAACAGCTAGTGAGGCAACGCTTGTTGCTCTCTTGGGTGCAAAGGCTAAAAAAATTGAGGAAATAAAGAAACAGCACCCAGATTGGAGTGAAAATACAATTATTTCAAAGCTGATCGGTTACAGCTCATCTCAGTCACATTCTTCAGTGGAGCGTGCCGGCATGTTGGGTGGTGTTAGATTGCGTGGCGTGCCAGCTGATGAAAATAATAGGCTTCGCGGTGATGCTTTGGAAGCAGCCATAAAAAAGGATTTGGAGGATGGGCTCATACCATTTTACGTAAGTGTAAGAGCCAATTTCACAGAATCGGCAGTTTACTACAGGGCTCGAATCGTAACATCCGTTCACGGATCGAAAACGATACGAAAGAAAATTACCTGATACGTCAGGCAGTATAAGCTAAATGGGACATAGAGTACGTTTACGTAAGTCATAATCCGAAAAATGTGTTTTTACGTGACGAGTGGTACGCTATCGTATGTGAAGATCCGAGCCCAGATTTTCAGTGTCGATTCTGAGTGACTGTGAAATTGGCCCTAAATGAAATAAATTTTCTACGTTAGTTTTAAATATTAACATTAAATTAAAGCCACCAATTATAGTTAAGCCTTTAAACTCAAAGACACTGTAGGAGGTGTTTTTGCAGGAGAGAGTTAATACGTATTTGACAGTTCACTTTCTATTTTGTACTGAAAATCAGGAAATAACTGCCGAATTTGAGTTAACTTTCTAGTCTAAGAACTGTCTTATGTAACAGAAAATTCAACTTTACTATTTATTTTTTACTATTTTTGTTTAAATGTACTATTTTTGTTTAAATTTGTGTACACATTAAGGTTTTTTTTACAGCTATTCGCCCAAAGAAAAATTACTGATATCATCTGCTTTTTCTAATTTTTTTCATTATTTAAATATTCAGGCTGTCGTTACCCTGGGTACCACCAATTCATGTGCTTTCGATCACTTAGACCAATGTGGTCCTGTTGGCAATAAATACGGCGTTTGGATACATGTGGACGCTGCCTACGCTGGCGCCGCTTTCATTTGCCCTGAGTATCGTCACCTGATGAAAGGCATTGAAACAGCCGATTCTTTCAATTTCAATCCACATAAATGGATGCTGGTGAATTTTGATTGCAGCGCTATGTGGCTAAAGGACCCCAGTTGGGTGGTGAACGCTTTCAACGTGGATCCCTTGTATTTGAAGCATGACATGCAAGGTTCAGCTCCCGACTACAGACACTGGCAAATTCCGCTTGGTCGCCGTTTCCGTGCGTTGAAATTGTGGTTCGTACTTCGCTTATATGGTGTGCAGAATCTGCAAGCGCACATAAGACGTCATTGTGGTTATGCTACGCAGTTTGCCAATCTTTGCCGAGCCGATGAACGATTCGAGATTGTCGGTGACGTAAATATGGGTCTTGTATGTTTCCGTTTAAAGAGTTCTAACGCAGTGAATGAGAAGCTATTAAAACATATAAATGGACGCGGTAACATCCACATGGTCCCAAGTAAAATAAATGATGTATACTTCTTGCGCATGGCTGTTTGTTCCAGATTTACTAAGCCAGAGGACATGGATTATTCTTGGAAAGAAGTGAGCGCAGCTGCTGATGATATCTGCGAAAAATAAGAAAAAATAACTATTGCATTAATAATGAAGACTTAGAATTTGCAAAAAAAAAATGACTCGTTTAGGGAACGAACCTGAAGATGTACTTCAATAGGTTCAACAACAACGAACGCTGTGTACTTTCTATATATTCCATTAGATGTTAGATATTACATTGTATTATTATATTATACTTGTTGAAATTATGGCCAAAAACTGTATTATCAAATCTTTTAGCAGTTTTGCATTGTTGTTGTGTTATTTGCTAATATGTAAGCTAATTTATGTAAGTTGTTTTTTCCAAACTCAAGTTCATTAATGTGAATAAAACTGAGCTAAAAATATCACATTGCTTTGTATTGCTCGAATTTATCATTTACACTATAAATTGACTATTATAGTGGTCTATTATGCGTTGAGCCTCACGAATACCACTCCGATGTGCACCATCTACTGTACCAAAGCCATCAACAATTGTTGCATCTCCAGCAAATAGTAGGCTTTGCATTGGACCGAGAGGTTCGGCCAGTGTCAGAACATCGTTAACTGTGCTACCGGTGGAGAAGTAAGGGCGACCGCCTAAGTAGCATGCCAGTGAACTCCAATTAGAACGCAGCACAGAACTTGGGTAGGGTATGCTTTGGTTTTTCAATAAGATACGTATTAACTTTGTTATTTCCGTAAGTAGTTCAATATCAGGCAATTTTTCAATTTTATCGTACCATTCTCCACCGATAACTATTTCAACTACCCTATTACTTTTTGGCATTTTTGATATCTCTACTACTTGTTTCGTCCATGTAATTTCAGCGCCGACCCCATAAGAGCTCCACAGTGGTCGCAAACTACTCTTAAGCCAACTCTCAGTATTGGCATCGTATTCGAAGTAAATTTTAACAGGACTACCAAAGCCAAGTTTTTTAATTGAATTTATTTTACTCTGCGGTAATGCAGGTCTAAACATGTTTTCAGAAAAGATCTTTAGTACTCCTAAAGGAACTGTACAAATTATGTGATCTGCATGGAATACATCGCCGTCCAAACAAGCTACACAATTCTCCCCACTTTTAGATGGGATAAACCAATTAATTTCACCAACTGGTTTACCAATTTTCAGTTGTTGTTTCCCCAGGTTCTTTGTTAAAATTGTTAGAATATTGTCCAAACCAGTCGGTATGTATATGTGGTTTGAACCATGTACACCATTCTGGAGCTTTGTTATGTGTTCGATATTAACATATTCCAGTGAACATCCTAACAAACTGCCAAACTCTTTGATGAGCGAGTTGAATATTTCATTCGCCGTCTTCCGATCTTCACCTTTAAATACAGAATTTACGAGCTTTGATTTTTCGGCTTGTAAATAGGTATGCACGTTATTCAAATCATCCATTGCCCCAGCTTTGTATTTCTCATCAAACTGGATATGCGAACAAAGTCTTTTATAGAGAATATCTATGAGTTCTGGTAGTGGCTTATCCACCTTTTCTCCAGATGTGTTCACATACATTTTGTCTTTGTTTTGTAATAACTTTTTTGGTAGCCCTCTCATATTTTGTACCATGTTATATACAGTGTTCTCCTTTGCATTAATTGGCACCCATTTTGCTCCCAATTCACAATAAGCATCTCCGAATTGTTTAGAAATGATGCGTCCACCACAACGGTCGGTGGCTTCGAGTATTATGGTTCGTTTGAAACCATTTTTTATTAAATGATTCGCTGCTGAGAGCCCGGCCAGTCCTCCGCCCACAACGACCACAGCAACTTCATTTCTTGGTTTGTCGGAATTATTTATGGGATACGTGCTTTTAAATGTTGCATTAACGAGGCTTGTATTGTAAAGTTTTCTTTTTGTGCACCGAATGCTAAAAAAAGAATAACAGTTTAAAGAATATCAACAAAACAAATGCAATTACGTCTGAAATTATTGTCGTTGATGTCTTACTATCTCATTGCAATTCACTTGTTAAATTTGGGTTGTAAGTATAACAAATTATTTTAAAATAAAACTAAATATTTTTCTAAATTTTTACAATTGATTTTGTTGACATCTTTGTTATTATTTTGCAACGTTGCCAAGTCGAATACGTATGTTTATATTTTGATGTTATTTTTTGGAGGGATTTGTAAGGGTAGTTTTGCAGTATGGTTGCCAGCTTATAAGAACAAAAATAAAGCGGCTATCATCTATTACAATTTTTAACACAAATCGGAGGTAGAATACAAGAACTGCTTTATCGATCACACGTTAGGTCGGTGTTATGCAGACAAACTTTTGTTTGCCAAATTAAATGNTAGAGCTCGAAAAATTGGAGCACTAGAAGCGTAAAGAGTTCGGACACATCCTGTATAAAAAATATCACTATTTCGGAGANATTTGCTGCAGTTTGACCAAACAAAATTAGTTTGCTGTGAGAGTCGCCAAACTCGCTCTCTCCGAGTTTGCTGCAACAACAATTGCACGCAGTTTGCCAAACAAAATTTCTGCATAACACCGACCTTAATGCATGATCAGTGTTGCCACATTTAAATTTTTTTCCTACCAAAATTTCCTACCATAACCTACCAAAACCTACTAAACATTTCTTTGAGAGTTTAATATAATTTTTCAATGTCAAGTTTTTTAAAAATATAGATAACATAAACAATAAAAACAAATTAACTGCGTATAACAATTCATTTTATTGTACAGACCAGGGACGTTGCGAATGTGGCATCCGCGGATGCGAATGCGAATGCGGATGTCAAATACAGTGAAAGCTCCAATATGCAGACACCGATGGACACCTTTTTTGTCCGCCTATGAGAGATGTCCGCTTATAGGAATTTCGTAAAAAATAAAATAAAAATTCATACTTAAAAAATTTAAATTGCGGGTTTCTAAATTAAAGTAATATTTATTCTTCAATAGACAGAAACAGGGTGAATTAAAAATAAATTCAAATTTATTGCGTTTTCTTTCCTACCGACAAATCTCATTGCCCATTGCAACGAAAAGGCAACACTTTTTCTAAAAAAGAAAATATTTTTGAATATGGGCTATGCTTATTTATTTATTCATTCAGTAGTAATCTAGATTAACAAAGTTACTTACAGACTACTTAGAAATAGAAGGAGTTATGCATTAAAACTCATTGCATTTAACATTGATTTGAAATCAGACTTAGATAGAGAAAAATCAATGGCTAGAGAATTTGAGAGTATATTGAACTCAGTTAGAGCTCGAAAAATTGGAGCACTAGAAGCGTAAAGAGTTCGGACACATCCTGTATAAAAAATATCACTATTTCGGAGAGTCCGGTTAGGGATATGGAAACAAATGCGCTCGAGGAGATATGATGAATCAATTACACCCTTAATAATATCGAAGACAAAGGTGAGCGAAAGGATAGTTCTTCTGCTTTGAAGAGATTTCAAGTCAATTAGCGCACATCTGGCTTTATATGAGGGAATAGGGTCCGCGAAATTCAGCGACCGCAGAGCAAAGCGTAAAAACGTTTTTTGAACCCGCTCGAGTCTATTAATATGGCATCCATGATAGGGTCTCCAGATAAAAGAAGCGTATCATATACATATGTAGAAGCGCAAGAGACAGTATTTGACTGAAAAACAAAACAAAATTGACCGCTTGTTAGAGCTTCGCATCCGCTTATGGTAGAGTTTTTTTCATAACTGGACGTTTTTGAGTGTCCGCGTCCGTTTATCGGAAAGTCCGTGTATGGGAGAGCATTTTGTATGGAAAAAAACCAAAAATTCTCCGTTCCGAAGAATGTGTCCGCTTATTAGGGTCTGATTATGCATACTTCGCATAACTTCGCACAACTATTTGTACCAGTGCAATATAAATGTAACTTAAGAAAATGTGAACCAAAATCTAAACTCAACAGATCGCTAAGTTTTTAAAAGTGCTGCTAATTTCTGGATAATGGAATACATACAAATTAGATACAAAGTACATACGAAATTACAGTTTGAAGTTTATGCGAAGTTATGCGAAGTATGTATAATCAGACCATTAGAGCGTCCGTCTATGCGACCTTTCACTGTATTTTAAGAAATATTTTTTGGTGAGTACATTAGGTGATTTAAGCAAAAAAATGGAAAATTTAGTAATTTTTAATATTTTTTTTTATTTAGTACTNTATAATCAGACCATTGAGCGTCCGTCTATGCGACCTTTCACTGTATTTTAAGAAATATTTTTTGGTGAGTACATTAGGTGATTTAAGCAAAAAAATGGAAAATTTAGTAATTTTTAATATTTTTTTTTATTTAGTACTTAAATTAAAAAATTGGAACATTGTATTTTGCTGCTTTTTCGGGTTACAGCCTGTTTCCTAACGGGTCGTAAATCAAACCTGCGCCATTAAATAACTACTCGATCGAGGCGAAAAACTTGAAAAACTTGAAACTTTACAAAATTGTAAATTCTTTTCGATTGACGCTGCACCAGTTGAGAGGACTTCAGCTTTTTTTTTTGCGGTTCAATAACACTATGCGACAGTCGGGATGGGATGAAACCAACGGGAAATGTTATATCGGTCAAAAACAAGTTATACGTGGCCCGGCGTTTCGCTGGGTCACGTCTAGGAATCGAGATATATCGATTTGAAATTAGTAACTATCATATAGGGGAAATTGTCACCTTTGGTGGTCTTTTTTTTGACATAACTCGAGAACCACTAGTCCGATTTTGCTCAAACAAATTTAAAAAAACTAAAAATTACAATTCCTTTAACCTGTTTATATAACGTTTTTCTATATAATCAACAGTTTTGCCGGTAAAAATAAATGTATGAAGAAAAAAAATATTTTTTGCCTAAAATATTAAATTTCGTGATGTATGTCTCATTTTGTTCATAGGTTATGTGACTTTACGTGGCACTTTTTTCCGTTTGGGATTTATTATGAATTAAAAAAAAAAAATTTAATTTTTAAGAAAATAAAAATTATTTTTGCCTAAAAATTACAATTTTTTTTTTAATTCATAAAAAATCCAAAACGGAGAAAAGTGTCACGTAAAGTCACATAACCTATAAACAAAATGAGACATACATCATGAAATTTAATATTTTAGGCAAAAAATATTTTTTTTCTTCATACATTTATTTTTACCGGCAAAACTGTTGATTATATAGAAAAACGTTATATGAACAGATTAAAGGAATTGTAATTTTTAATTTTTTTAAATTTGTTTGAGCAAAATCGGACTAGTGGTTCTCGAGTTATGTCAAAAAAAAGACCACCAAAGGTGACAATTTCCCCTATATGATAGTTACTAACTTCAAATCGATATATCTCGATTCCTAGACGTGACCCAGCGAAACGCCGGGACACGTATAACTTCTTTTTTACCGATATAACTTTCCCCGGTAGTTTGAACCCTTCCCATTTGTCTCACAGTGTAATTAGAGAAGGTCATCGCTGTTTAAACACCGTTGTGTTCCAATTTGGAGAACCAATTCTTTTGGTTGTTTCAGAATTTGGAGAACCTGTTACGACATCAGCGTTTTTCGATTTTAGTTTTTGTAATTCATTTTTAATCCTGTCGTCTGTGACTGGTTTGAAAAATGTGTGCTTATAGCGTCGCGACGTTGTGAATAGATGGATATGGCTAATAAATTGTTATTTTGTAGGAATGGAAATTTTGAAGAAAATTCTGTTTTGAAAGTCGTGGCTGCCAGCAGAATTTGTTTAAAGTCTTGTTATTTTGTTAAAAAGTTACCCCGTTTACAATAATTTCAATTATTGGAATCACGGACTATAAAGGTCTCAGATTTGCTTAATTCCCGGTGACCTCTTGGAAAGGTTCACCTGTAATGAACAGCTTGTAACTAGTTTTTTTTTTATTAGTTAGCTGAGCTTGGCTTTTCCTAGTTTCAGGCAGACACAATTAATTACTCACCGCTGTCGGTACCATGAGCCATCAAATCCGTTTTGTTGTTCTATTCCATGCGCTCAATGTGTTTTGATATATTTTTTGGGGCACTTGCACAATATTCGCATTCGCAAAAGCTCCGCATTGATTATTGCGAATGCGAAAGCGAATGCGAATGTTAAAATTTATTGCGGAAGTTTCGCGGTTGCGAATGCGAATATTCGCAACAACCCTGGTACAGACTTATTCAAATGTATGTCTCTTTGCACATACATACATAGTACATATCGTCACTAGATACGAATACGCGAGCTCAAAAGTTGACCGTGAAAAAAGACGCATAAAAAAACTTCGGCGAAGAAAGACTCTTAACATATGTAGGTGACGGAAAAGAAAAACGCATTAATCTCTTTGACGGGGAAGAAAGACGCATAAACTTATTTTCGCGGTTAACTATGTTTACGAGTAACGGTATACGAATTCCCCAAAGAGTTTTTTCCGGAATGATGTTGAATCCATGTTTACACGTCTTTCTCCGCCGAAGTTTTTTCAAGCGTCTTTTTTCGTAATTTTCTTTCACGCGTCCTTTTTCTCCGCCAAAAGAACCGCCCGCCGTTATTCGTGTCTAGTGACGATATTATTATTATTACTTCGAAGATACTCGCGCTGCGATCTAAGTTAATAAATTGTGCTACACCTTAATTGTAATAACTCCAACCTTAGGCTATTTAAAAAGCTAAGAAAGGAGAAGACAATTTTTCTCCGAGGTGTATCAATTTACGATTCATGCTTCGTGGGAAGGCACATAGAATATACTGGGTTTCCTCCACCAGCCCACAAAATATACAGTCGGTCAAATGGTACTTCGGAGTTTTCCCTGGAAGGAGTTATGAATCGATTGTCTTATTCCCTTTTACTTCCGCCAGTGCGCAGTAACCTGAGATTATTCCCAGCTAGCTCCTAAGTAGTTCTGCAGTGTATCCTTTAGATGTAGCACAGAATAGCTCGGGACCATGCAAGCGGTACTTGGTCTCCACGCTTTGCGAGACAGTCAGCCCTTTCGTTGCCTTCAAACTTTTCATGTCCCGGAACCCACCACTGCGTTACGCTATTGTAGGCTCCCAGGTATTTCAAGAGTTCTCAAGCCTTGGTGTCGCTTTAAAAGAGTCTAAGGGCCGGTTACTCAAAGCCTGGTTGACACTAATCATCGGTTATTATCGTTATCAACGTTTTCGATTCCGTGCATTTAACCCGGTGTTTAACCGGGGATTAGAGTCAACCAGGCTTTGAGCAACCGGCCTAAGGGCTTTAACGCTGCCTATATATCTGACATAATATATATTCTGGCCTCATTTGCCTTTTATGATGACATTCGCGATCAC